TCTTATTAGTTATTAATGTAACACTTCTAAAAAATAGTTATACTTATTATAAATTTATATTTATATGGTAATATAATTATAAATTAATACAAAATTGTCGCATTACGTCATACCTTAAAAAACGCAATGTCTCGCCATGGCTTGTTAACCTTATGGCTCGGATTTGTCACCACATCACGCCTTATATCATTTAGAACCTTGGGCGTACTAACTGAAAAACTACTTGTTAGTTGAAACAGTAGCTGTTAAATAAAAAGATAGCTAGTAGTTGAAAAACTAGCTGATAAAAAATAACATTTGGTAAAACTAGATAAAAAGTTAACCAAAATATATAAAACGACATAAAAGGACATTTAAAAGAATGGTTTTTATAATTAATTATGGAGTATATTTGAAATTTTAAAAAAAAGCTCCTAAAGGTAGTCTAAGTAGGTTGTTAAAAAGCTAGCTTTTAAACTACTTTTTGGTTTACCAAATATAACAACTTAAAAAAAACTCGAAAAATAAACTAGTTTTGATGCACCAAATACAACCATAATCACCTTTGTATATGCATTTAATTGTAAAACTTAGATTTTTATTTCTCAAAAGAAACTTTAGAAGCCTTCAAGTCATTCAAAACATCCAAGAAGTCTGATGAAAATCAAAGGAATTATAAGACCAAAACTTCAAGAATAGATAATTAAGATAACCCAATGCAAACTACTTTGACAAAAACGTGACTATTTTCGAGATGACTAGAAAACTTGAAGAATAGATAATTAAGATAACCCAATGCAAACTACTTTGACAAAAACGTGACTATTTTCGAGATGACTAGAAACATTTTAAAGGAAAAGGGATTGCAAGATGATTAAAAAAGAGTTTACCATATAAAACTCCCCAACAATTTCAGGGTGGTTTTAAACCAGGAGTAGCACACCTTAGGACTTTTGGGTTTGTGATTTACTCTCATATCTCAAACCCAATGTTGTAAAAATCGCTCGATTTTAATTAGTCGGTGGACTTAAGTTAAGAGATTAATTGGTTAGACGAAGATTAATGGGGAATCATTAATTGCTATTTTGTTAAATTTAAAAAAAATTTAAATATGACTAATATCATATAAAAGTTCGTAAATGCCACTAACATCATAACAAAATAGGTTAATATGATAAATACAATATTAATCATACCTTAAATAGCTTTTATTAAGATATAATTTTTTCAAAGTGTTAAAATTTCATCAAGTTCTACTGTTTCAGTCATTGCGTATGAATGGATTAATCGCTAGACGCTCTTTAATCGGTCGATTAGCTCCTAGGGATTAATCGGAGATTAATCGGAACCTAATTGAGATTTTTATAACCTTGCTCAAACCACAAGAGATCAAAATTTGATGATAATTATGAGAAAACTAATTTTTTTTTTTCGGTTACAATGAACCTTCAAAAGCCTATAAATTGTATAATCCTCTCATTAAGAATGTGATAATTAGTAGGGATGTCATTTTTTATGAGAACAAAAGATGGAGTGATGCTATAAGTAACAAAAATAACTCTAAACATAACATTGACAAAGACGAATTAGAAAGAGAAGAAGGTGTGTTGATCATAACAACTCAAACAATACTGTTCCATATTATAATCAAGTACACACTTGTATAAAGAATTATAAGGAATCAGATTCAAACTCTTTTTCATCTTCACAAAAGCACAACAAAGTCCTCATCAGTATCACGAAGTTCAGCACCAACGAAGTTTCGTAGCATGTGTAGTAATGTTACAAATAGGAACATATTGGAATTTGATACTATGGCTGGCTTTTCCCTTTGATGACACTGACTAAATCAATTATGAAAAGGCTATTCAAGAAAGTAAATATGACGAAATTGTATCCATAGTAAAAAACTACACATGACTTAGTCAATTTACCAAAAAACCATTAGTTTATTGTTGTTAAGTTGGTATATAAAACTATGTTAGATGAAAAGGGAACTGTAGCCAAATAAAAGGCTTTTAGTCGCTAAAGGATAGAAGAAAAAAATTAGAGTTGACTATATTAAGATATTTTCTCCAATGAAATTAATTTAAATGATCAGGTTAGTCATAGCTCTTGTTGCACAACATGAGTGGCAAGTCCACCAAAATGTACGTGAAATCAGCATTTGTAAACAATTTTATTAAAGATGAAGTGTATGCGAATCAATCACTTAAATAAGTAATGAGTGGACAGGAACACAAAATTTATAGATTAAAGAAAGCTTTATATCAAATAAAATAAGAACTTTGTGCATAGTATATATATATTAGGATAGACACATATCTCCTTCCAATTGTTTCAAAAAATGAACTTGTAAGCACACACTTTACATTCAATCACAAGACACATCTTCATTTTATGTATTTATGTGGAATATTTATTTTTCACAAGTAGTTTTTACATTCCTCTTTGGGAATCAAATTCAAACAAGCCAAGTGAAGGTATGATTTCTATTACTAAACGTAATTATGTCAAGGATATACTAATAAAATTTGATGTGCTTTATTCCCATCCAACTTAAACTCTTATGGAGTTTGGATCAAAGTAATTGAAAGATATATCATAAGTATTTACGGATCCATGCATATCATAACCTTGCTGGAAGCTTAATCTCTTAAATAACAAAAACACCTGATCTAATGTATGTCGTTAGCATTATTAGCAAATTTATGTAAACTTCAAAGTATAATAGTTAGGAGAGCAAGAAAGTGAATTATTAAATTTGTAAAAGGGACACCAATCATGTAATTATGTATTTAAGTGGGGTATAGTGACAAAACAATTTTAGGGCGTCCTTGTGACATCAAAATCTCTTTGGGTTTCATTGCCAAGACCATAGCTATAGTATCATGCCTAATCTAATACTATTTCGAATATGTCGTTTATAGGGACAACATGGTCGATCAACACCTAGTTAAGGAAAATCTATTTTCATTTTGGTTGAACCAACAATCCGAGGATGGTGAAGGGGGTGAAATCGTTTTTGGTGGCGTTGATCCGAAGCACTATAAGGGTACACATACTTACGTTCCAGTGACGCAAAAGGGTTATTGGCAGGTGTGTCCATAAGTATACGACTATATATATATATATATATTATATATATATATATATATATATATATATATATATATATATATATATATATATATATATATATATATATATATATATATATATATATATATATATATATATATTCTAATTTTTTTCACTTATTTTTTTATAGTTCGAAATGGGTGATGTACTTATTGGTGGGAAACCTACTGGTATGTAGTTGAGGAAGATTATTATTATATTTATGTCGGATGTTGGATCTTGGATTGGCCATGATGTTCTTAATTTGTTTGTTACAGGCTTTTGTAAAGATGGATGTTCCGCAATTGTAGATTCAGGAATTTCAGTGATAGCAGGTCCAATGGTCTGTATCATTCTCCACCTTGATATCTAGTTGTGTTGATGAGCTCCTCTTTTCCTTTTATTTTTTTACTGCAGTGTTTTTTTATAAGCTCATAATTTTGTATTTTAAGTGCTTGTAAGTTTTTTTTTTTTTTTGTCTTCTAAAATGCTTTATTCTACTCTAAACTACCGTCAACCTTTTGGTTGAGTGGCACTATTCCAATTCCTAAAGCCCTTTTAATTTCAAAATCTTGTAAGTAGGTTTGATCTTCTTATTTTGTGGTTTGTGGCTTTCAGAATGCCATCACAGAGATAAATCTTGCCATCGGGACTATGGGAATTATTAATGACCAATGTAAGAAAGCTATTGGGAATGTGGGAAACCTAGTCTTTGATATGTTTGCCGCAATGGTAATATATTATAAACAGTTCGTTTTATATATTACGTTGGAACTTAAATGCATGTTTTGGGTTCCTATATCATTTTCTTTTATTCAACAGTTTAAAGAACCTGGGAAGTTATGTTCCCACATCACAATCTGTATTCCTGGTGATAAAGCTACCGACGGGTCAGTATTCTAATAGCGAACTTCCCTTTTTTGGTTGCCTATATATTTTACATGATGACTCTCTTTCAATAATTTGCTCTTTCCTTACTTCTTTGTGAGCATTTATCTACAAATATGGAATCATTAATTTCTTTTGTCCAGTGACAATTTGATCCTTAATTTTGCACCGAGTTAATGTCATATCGTGGTAAAATTTGAATGATGCGCAGTAGTGACATTAGGAGTGTGGTCGATATTAGTGATGGTTTAACTGGACCTCCACAAATCCCAATATGTAAAGCATGTGAGATTGTAGTAGACTTCTGGCATAAAGTGCTCACAAACAACATGTCACGAGGTGCGGTCATAACATTAGGCAGCCAAGTGAGTTCTCTTTATTCTTTTTTTTTTTTTTTTTTTTTTTTTTTTTTTACATTTTTGACATACGATTTTATTATAATTATCTCTTATAATTTTACTAAAACATAAAAGTGATACATAGGTAGTAGATTGTTGTTTATTTTTGTATGACTCCTCCTCCATTGCAGCTATGTGCTGTGACAGGTTTAGCGGGAGTGTCAACTGTAGACTGTGCAAGACTTCCATTTATGCCTACTATTTCATTTACCATTGGGGGCAAAGAATTTGAACTTTCTCCTAATGAGGTATTGGTTTATGACATTTTTTCACTATTAGTCAAGCATTTTAAATATATATAATAATTATGTATGTTTTTTTGTAATTGTTTTGTAGTACATAACTAAGATTGGCGAGGGTGCTAGTGCTCAGTGTATAAGTACCTTCATTCCTCTGGATAATCCTCCTGAGGTTGGCCCACTTTGGTACGTGTATCTCGTAATGAAGATCATCCGACTAAAGTACTTTAATTCTGATAATAGATATTCAAAATCGCGTTTGACTGTCTTTTCTTGATTCATGTGATGCAGGATACTGGGTGATGCATTTATGCGTCGTTACCACACTATATTTGATCATGGTAATCTCAGAATTGGATTTGCAGAATCGGCTTAAATAAGACATATTAACCAAATGTGCTAGTACATCTGGTTAACGTAATTTCTTTGCTTGTATCTAGTAATATAAAGTGTTACATTTAATACTAGTAATATGATGCCTCATGTGCTTGCAAAATATTTATTAATTAATATATACTGTTCTTCATATTGTTGAAAAATGTAATGTTTAAATATTTTAAATAGAGCCTAAACGCACATAAAGCCCCCATTTATCATCATGGTTTATAGTATATATTAAATCTTGTACTTATCGAACGGTTCCACTTTTTGACAATACAATAAATAAGGTTTGGTCCAATATATACTTCGACGGGTCAATCACCTACGTTCTTTGTCGTAAAACAAATTGATGGAGTACAACAAAATGAATCTAAAAGGCAACACCAGTCGTAAATTGTTGTATTAAGTCTTGAAAGTTTATAGCATGCCAAATGCGCCACTTCACCAAGTGCAACCAGAGCCGGTTTTCAGGATTCAATAATTTTTTAGACAACTTCTATTCTTAATGCTTTTGACCTCTTTCTTTCCATGTTTACTTTTCGATTTAGAGTATCAACTACGACATTTGCTTTACCAGTGTGGTGAAATATCTCACAATCATAATACTTGAGCAATTCTAACCAGGGTCGTTGCATCATATTCAATTCTTTTTGATCAAAGAGATACTTGACACTTTTATCATCAACGAAAAGCTTGCACTTTGTGCTATAAAAATAATGCTTCCATATTTTTAATGCTAATATTACCGCTGCCAACTCCAAATCATGAGTGGGGTAGTTCTTTTCGTGTTCTTTCAATTGTCGAGATGCATATGCTATCACCTTATCTCTTTCGGTCGAACACAACTTAACCCAACTCCAGATGCATCACTATAGACTGTGAAGTCTTCAACTCCGTTAGGTAAAGAAAGAATCGGTGCTTCATACAACTTCTTCTTTTTATTGAATGCTTCTTAATGTTTCTCACTCCATGTATTTGTAGCTCATTTATGGGTCAAAACTGTAAATGGAACAACTATCGAAGAAAAACCTTGGATAAATCTTTGGAAATATCTAGCTAATCCGAAAAAGCTTCGAATCTCCGTGAGACTTTTTGGTCATTCCCATTTCATCACAACTTCAATCTTTGCTTGGTCAACCATTATTTCTTCTTGGTTAACCACATGACCTAAGAATTGGACTTCTCAAATCCAAAAACCACATTTGGCGAACTTTGCATACAACTTCTCCTTCTTCAGAACTTCTAATACTTCTCGTAGGTGCTTGCCATGCTCCTGTTGGCTCTTTGAGTAAATCAGAATGTCATCTATGTATACTATCACAGATTTATTGAGGAATGGTTTACAAACCATGTTCATCAAATCCATAAGTGTTGCTAGAGCATTGGTTAGTCCAAATGACATAACCAATAAGTCATAGTGTCTGTATCTCGTTCTGAATGTGGTCTTCTCAATATCTCACTCTCTTAATTTTAACTGATGATATCCTGACTTGAGATCGATCTTTGAGAAATAGCTCGAACCTTGCAGTTGATCGAACAGTTCATCAATCCTTGGAAATGGGTACTTGTTTTTCACTGTTTACCTATTCAGTTCTCTATAGTCTATGCACATCCTCATGCTTCCATCATTTTTCTTCACGAATAACACTGGATCTCCCCAGGGTGATGAACTTGGTCTAATGAAATCATTGTCCAACAACTCCTAAAGTTGCATCATAAGCTCCTTAATCTCCTTTGGTGCTAATCGGCATGGTGCTTTCGCTATTGGTGTTGATCCTGGCAACAAGTCTATTTGAAACTCAACTTGTCAATCAGGGGGCAATCCAAGAAGATCTTGTTGGAATAGTGTCTAAGGTTGCAACTATATTAGGCAAGTATTTGATCTGGTTGTGCATGGTCCTTTTGGGTTGCCTTCACCATAGCAACTTAAAGAGATTAATTAAATAAGAGGGTATAAACTGTCAATTGTTTGATAGTTACACTTTAGACTATAAATCCTTATCCTAGATAGGATGGACGATTTCTAGGGCTTGGATAAGCCAAAATCGTCCATAGGGTTATCAAGGATAGGATATGGATCAACTTAAAGTCTAAGTTATCCAATTAGGGTTAAAGTTGTAATCCTTAAGGAGTCTACAAGTATAAATAGACCCTAGGGGTGAAGGAATTCGAGTAATCACAACATACCATCTAAGGTAGAGATACTCTGGCCGAATTCCTCCCCTCTCCTCTCTCCTAAATCATCTTGCTTGCTATTGGTGTTTGTAAGCCATTAGAGGAGTGACATTTGTGACTCTAGAAGCTCCAAGACAACAAGATCAACAAGGAACTCAAAGGTATGATTCTAGATCTGTTTCAATGTTGTTATTTAACCTAATTAGCCATTAGAAGTCTTGGATTCAAAGCATGTTTAATTAGAAAGCCTAGATCCGAGCATTAGGGTTTTGCATGCGCACATAGGAAAGTTCTTATGGCTAAAACCCATCAGTGGTATCAGAGCCTAGCTTGGTTTTCTTTAAATTGTTGCTTGATTAACTGAAACAAACCTGCAAAATTCGATTTTGGGTTTGAGTCATGGACTCGGCGAGTTCCAAAGTGGACTCGGCGAGTAGGCCTGACTCGGCGAGTCCCTTTGTGTACTCGGCGTCCGGGCGTCAGGATTAGGCAAACCGGGATTTTTTCATGTTTATCTTATGGAAACTTACCTTAATCATATTAGATCAACCCTAATCCGTTTTTTGATATATATGACTATAATCTTGATCTAATTAAAGATATTTATCATCTAATAAAATATTTAATTTCCTTATATGATAATTGATTAATTATTTTGATAATTATCTTAAAAGAAATCTTGGATAAATCAAATATAGATAATTAGGATATTAATTGTTAATTGGAATTATTTGTTATTTGATCCTCCATGTTTAATGTTTAAAACTTTCCCTCAAGTTTTGAAATTTATATTTGTGATTAAAAAGTTTTAATTTAGACAACTTAAATTTCAAACCCTACGTTTTAAAAGGTTTAAAATACAACCTTATACTAATATGATATTACTAGAATAATATATATATATATATATGTATAACTAAATGCTAGTCTTACCGTTAGTAGGCCTCATTCACGAAGCCGATCTATAAGGTGGGTATAAGGTTGCGGCCTATAAAATGGCGCTTAATGGGTGTACACTCACACCCACCGCTTGCTTGATTGGTGGAGGGTCGTTAGCCGAACGGGTAGGATAGGGCAACCTCATCCTCTCATTAAAAGTATAATAAGAAATACAAAGTAACTACACGTTTTAAAAATTTCCCAATCTTAGTTACTTTAGGAAAAGTGAATTGATGCAATCCCATGAAATTACACTTTGCACCCTTGCTAAGAAGTTAGTGGAGCGTGTGTGGTTTACCGGCACACTAATTGGTTCTAAGCAAAGGTGGCAAAGGGTGATTCATTGTTTATCATAGTTCGATGGAGCGTGTGTGGTTTACCGGCACATCGAATAGGTGATCGTTACAATGAAGGCACCATGTGAATTTGCATGGTAATTCACACCCGCTTTGTGATCCTCGGCATCCCAGTCACAAACGAGAGGGGCATATCGAGATTTAAACATGCCATTGAATAGTTCAATGAATCTCATCCGAACCTAGGAATTCTCAAACACTTAGGACTAATAGTTTAAGTTTTGTAATGGAGAATTAGTGAATCGTCATTCACTTACCTTCAATTTATTTGCATGTTAGATTACGGCATCCCTTTTCTAATATGTAAATGTTATTGTTGGATCCTAACCCTAATTTTTCTTATTGGGTGATAATTAGGGATTCTTATTCTAATCTATCTTTGTCCTTTCTATAGATGTCAAACGCAAACAACGCTGCTGCTAGTTCTTTCACGTTGATGAGCCTTTGCCAAAAGGTCACCTTCGATGGAACGAACTTTAGCGAATGGATAAGATACATTCGCACCATTGCTCGCTATGAGGATAAGAGTATGTCCTCGATGAGAAGCTCGAGAAAATCAACCCCGAAGTTGCTACTCGCCGAAATCACCGCCTTTGAAACTCATGAGCGAGATGCAACGAAGGTACATTGCATCATGATCGCCACCATGAACTCCGAATTCCAAAAGTCCTACGAGGACATGTATCCATACGAGATGCATCAAGACTTGTTGGAGAGATACCACCAAAACGCGAGACAAGAGCGTTACGAGATTTTCACTAACATGATCTCCGCTAAGATGGGTCATGGAGAATCTCTTACCGTGCACCTGCAAAAGATGCAAAGGTATGTCGACCGCCTTCGCAAGTTAAATGTTGACTTCGGTGAAGACTTGGCGATCGACATGGTGCTTCACTCTTTGCCTCCGATGTACAACCAATTTAGGATGACCTACCACATGAACAAAGAGGAGGTCACCCTAAGCAAACTCCAAGGTCTTTGAGGTCGCTGAGAGCAACTTCAAAGACAAGTCTGTTGCACCTACTCCCAATCCGTCCGCTGCTCCTGTCTTGGCTATTGGTCAAGGGAAGGGAAAGAAGAGGAAAGCTTCATCGAATAACTATCGCAAGGTGAAAGCCCGAGATGGTGCCTCTTCTAGTGGGACCAAAGTTGATCCCGCTAAGCCCTGCTCTAACCCAAAGGAGGCAGAGTGCCACCACTGCCACAAGATAGGACATTGGAAGAGAAGCTGCCCGGATTACCTGCAAGCGATCAAAGAAGGAAAGATCAAGCCATCTTTCGCAGGTATATACACAATCAAATCTAACGATTCTAATCATGCTATTTCTTGGGTTCTTGATACCGGTTGTGGTTATCACATTTGTTCTAATGTGCAGGGACTAAGAAGAAGTAGGGATGTAGAGCAAGGAAGGATCAATCTAATCATGGGGAACAGAAGATCGTCGCCTGTGACCAAGATTGGAGTGTATTCTTTAGTGCTTAGGAATAGTTTGTTTTAGATTTGAACAATTGTTGCTATTCGCCA